GAACGATATCATGTGTCTGCTCATTTGTGGGCGATAGGATTTGTGTAGATAGAGAAAATCACACATGTACACATAGAAGTAGAACCATCAAGGGGAACAAGGGGGAATTATGGGAAGGGGGACAGAGGGCAGGGGGCGGTCTCCAGTGGGGAACGTGCTTAAAGAACTTTACATACCTGAGTGAAAACGCCTGGTGCAGTTCCATGAGCAGGAATGTAGAATGTAGAATGTAGAATACTAGCTCAGTTTCCCATAGGTGAGTAAGACCAAAACAGCTGCAGGTCAGTTTCCCAAGTGGGAGTTCCCAGATCAGTCCTGACACTTTAACCCTCTAAAATTTAATATTCTATAAAACAATGTCAGGGCTTTGTTTTACTTTGCTTTTAGAGCTATTCTCTAATGCTGAAGATAGTACACATATATTAAAACACTGATATTCCAGATGAAAGAGGCAAGGGGGGGAGGAAATACATATGTCCCAAATAGTTATGAACATTTGTTTTATATTGACTCGAATTTGGGATGGGTTTTGCTATAAACGTGTGTAGGAAGCAGGTGCGGGTGTGGTGGCCATTCCAAAATGGTGCCTGGGGCTAACACCTGACTTCCTCATACGCCCCTGAAGAAGCCACGCCCACAGGCAATATTGCGCAGGCTCACTGCTACGCATAATCAGGCCATCTGCTACGCAGGGCAACATCGGATCTCAAGATACCGGCTATCCTATCGCATGCACCGATGTGGGAGGCTCTGATTGGAGAAGGCAGAGGGATTTAAGGGCGGTGGAGGAGAGGCTGGGGGCTTTTTGCTGAATGTAAAGGTTCCTGAATAAACTGCGTTGAGAAGAAGAACTCTGTGTTCGTTATCTTCTGTCTGCTGGTCGGATTGGGAAGCGACAAACATGCAATGCTTTTATAAAAGAACATTAAATATAGCTACTTCCTAAAAGTCAGGGGCAAAATCAGGACAATTTCCAAGAAGAGACAATTCGACTCGGCTAATAGCTTTACAGAGAGAGATAACAATGGGGGTGGGGGGGGGGGACAAGGAACATGGAAAGCTGTCTGGCCCCCCACAGCAGCACAGGACAACTGTTTACATTCCAAGTGTGTGTGTGTGGGGGGGGGCACTTGCAGAAAGGGTAGGGTCTCATCACTACAACAAGGTCTCGGTCCCCACAGCAGATACATCTCATGCCTCTTTCTCTCTGACAATGACTGTGGTAGACACACTTCAGTAGAGAGAGTCTGTCCTTGGTTTAGATCTCCGAATGCACATGGTGAGAAGGCAGTGGTCCAACAGCTTGAGGCAAGTTCTTCTGAGTGGGCTCTGGAGGAGAGGACCAGCAGGAAGCCTGGGCGTAGACCTAACCATAACGTAACTGGAGAGCACAGTGTAGAAGCTATTACCCACCCTCAATAACTATCCATTTGTGACATCGTGTTCCGTACTCATGTCCATGCTTCAGACTCATGGGTATTTTGAAATCTACTTGTTTCCCATGTATTTTGCAAAGAAGACGACTGTAAAATTCACAAGGGATTATTTTTATTTAAGTAATCAATCCCGCTATGATCCAATGGTGTTAATCCGAGCAGTAGCGGATCGGCTCACCTCTCCCCTGATAAAATAATCTCTGAACAAGACCCACTACTGCCTTTTGATGCTTGGGTTATGCTGCTCTTCATGGGACAGCTTCCCACAGTTGGCACCTGGCTGATGGCATTACAGTGTTAGCCTTCTCCCTCTTGACCCAGGCCTAGATTCTCTAATCAGGTAGCGTAGCTAAGTCCTTCATTGAGTCTGAGTTCATAGGTAACATTGTCAGGAGATAAAAAATCCCTCCTTCCCTGTGCTTTTCTGCAGTGGTAGGGCTGCCGCCATGAGCTTGCCCCATCCCAGTTCCATTGGCCATAGGTTTTCATGTCGTCAGCCACTGCTGCCTAGACACTATTGCAGAATTTCAAGACAATCCTCTGCCATCTCTTCCTCAGCTTGGAGAGCTCCTGGGGTCTCAGAGAGAAACATGTGTTGGGAAAGGTTAATAAGGAAGGCAGGAAAATGAGAAAGAGAGAGAGAGAGAGAGAGAGAGAGAGAGAGAGAGAGAGAGAGGAAGAAGAAGGAGGAGAGAGGAGGGAGGAGGGAGGAGGGAGGAGAGAGGAGAGAGAAGAGAGAGAATGCCACAGACAGAAAGGGCAATAAAATTGCAAGGACAAAGAAAGGTCTGGGGCCTTTGAAAATGTGAGAGTGTTGCTTAATTGTCCTCTGAAAAGGTTAAACTGTCTTTTTTATCTTCAGTCAGTGTGCTGGTAGCCAAGTCTCCTAGCTCTGCCTGACTGACAGGTGAAACTCTTCCCATTTTGTAACCATCTGTAAGAGAAACGCTCCTAATGCCCACTGCGGCTGTGACTTGTATCCATTCTATTGTGGAAAGTCCGTGGATACCTCTGTTCATTTGCCTATTGGTTTGCTTACAAGGTGTCCCTTGTAAGAGTTCTTAATGTGGGGTGGTGGTGATAGCAATCAGAACGCACTGACTCCATGCTTGGACTTGTCAAAGAACAAAGTTAATAAAAGCTTTAAATAGTAAATACACACCACACACACACACACACACACACACGAATGACTGGTTAGGATAGTGGGAAATGGATTGTGTGTGTGCTATGCCTGTGTAACCCAGACTGACCTTGAATTCAGTGTGTAGTCTAGATGACCTTGAGCTTCTGAACCCCCGCCCCCGCCTCTATCCCTGAGTGCCAAAGTTATAGGTTTACACCACCATACCATTTTCTGAGGTGCTGGGACTCAAGCCAAGTTTTGTGGGCACCGTGAGTGCTTGGTAAGCACTCTACCTCCTGAGAATGAATGTATATAATATACATATATATCCTATGTTGCGGGTATTGTCAACTGACTATTGTCTTTGACTCTCATCAGGATATCATTTTCTTTATTGCAGCAACAACCTCTGAGCAAACGGTTCCTTCAGGCTCTGGGATTTTGGACATTGAAAGGCTTAATCTATTCCAAAATTGTCATGTTAGATAGATAGATAGATAGATAGATAGATAGATAGATAGATAGATAGATATAGATATAGATATAGATATAGATATATCCTATGTGAATTTCATAGTTTACAATTCCCTGTCCTTCCCCTCACTTCCTCTTTTGCATGGACGTGTTGGTCCACCGTGACATACAGACCAAGCTTTTGTTTCCTTCGAGATGTTTCCCTGCTTCTGTATCCTTCCCCTGAGAGTCTGAGTGCTGTGCCTACCGTGCGCTGTATACTGAATGCATCTGGGCCTGTTCTGGATTCCGTTTCTCCCTAGTGATCTATTCCTGCTCTTGCTCAGAATCAGTTCTGCGAGGCCAGCACAGTGGTGGCCCTGTGCACACCACACTCCGTGAAAAAGCTGTGTAAAGTCATGTGCAGCCTGGTCTGCATGGTTGTTACTGTTGCAGCCTCCGTGGCTTCAAGCGGCATCCAGCATCGCTCACTGTTCTGGTGTGTTCTGGGGTGTTCTGGGGTGTTCTGGGGTGTTCTGGGGTGTTCTGGGGTGTTCTGGG